CTGTTCAGGGGAGAGACATTTCTCTAATATTATAATAACAGTGCTGTCTCACATTGATAACATCTGACTCAAAACGTCCTGAAATCAGGTTGGGTTTATTATGAAAATTCATATTAGCCACACACCACTCGAAATCACATGTGTCATCCCTAGGTAGGATTGAACTTGAAATCTAGCCACTCCATCCCATCCCCAGAGCCACATCATGACAGGCAATGTCAGCTAACAATGATAATTAATTTTCCAAGGAAGCATCTGCCAAAACTCCTTCCACTTTGGCTGTGGGGTTAGGGCAACTTGGGCACCCCAAACTGCAGGAAACTGAGGGTGCCTCTGTGGCAACGGTGGTGAAGGATGGTTAAGGGTTGTCCCTCTCTTCCCTTACCCCAAATAGCTAAATAAATCTCTTGGGGGTATAATGCAGCATGGCTCTTTAATCCCCACACTGAGGTCTGTCGGGGATAAAGTGGATTACAGGGTTGTTGGGCTGGCCGCTGCGCCCAGAGCCAAACTCTTACAACAGGATTCAAATCCCTGCCCTAACTCAGAACACATTTGCTTGTTGCTTTAAAAAATAGCTTTAAACCAGATTGTGCTGATAAACCAAGCTGTGGCTCTTTCTGAATGTATGACTGAACTCTTTATGCTCTCCTTTAAATATGGTTCTTTTCATAATTTAATGAGTTCTTTTAAGAGGTACAGAGAACGAGGAAGGGTGTTTTTATAATAAAGTCACATTTCCCTCCCACATTCAGAAGAGTTAAGGTTGCATGCACAATGCTAGTAACTCCTCGAATAAAGACAGTATTTTTTATGTAGCCATACACAATACCTAGGAAAATGTCAGGGCCTGGCTAGGGTCTGATTACACTGCAGTAACATATTGTGTTAGGCTGTGGAGCAAGGAAAGAGGCCGAAAGAGGAAAAAGGAAGAAAAAAAGAAGATCAGAAGTTGGCAGAGAAGGCTAAAGGACTTAGTCCATTCTGCCAATCAAAAGACTAAGGAGAGATAAATTTATTGCCTATAATGTATCAGAGGAGTTAATATTCCTTCTAAATACTCTCCTGGCAAGTAGCCGAGTGGTGAAAGAGAAGTTTAAGAGCAGGCAGGAAATTAGATGGAGGAAGGAAGGAAGGAAGGAAGGAAGGAAGGAAGGAAGGAAGGAAGGAAGGAAGGAAGGAAGGAAGGAAGGAAGGAAGGAAGGAAGGNNGAAGGAAGGAAGGAAGGAAGGAAGGAAGGAAGGAAGGAAGGAAGGAAGGAAGGAAGGAAGGAAGGAAAAGTAATGAGCATCTACCTCTCATTACTATGGCTCAGAGAGGAGCAGTCCCTGAACTTGGGAGATCATGTTGCCTTTCCAAGGAGAGGCTTTAGGGTTCCTGCATGCTTGAAGGAAGCCCAGGTTACCAGGAAATGCATATAATATGATTGAGAATGAAGGAGACCTACAGAAGTGCAGGAAATACATGTGTTTCTCTGCTCAGCAAGTGTGTTTTGATTACAGCTCAGCATCAGCTCTCAGAACACCATGAGTACCCTGGAGGAAGTTTGGGAAAGGAAAACGGGCTAAAAGCCAGAGGAAGGACCAAGAGGCAGGACCAAGAGGCTCCAGAACGAAACCCAGCCTGCTCTGCGCCCATGCCAAGTGTCAGATCCAGTGGGATCCCTGCAAAATTATCTCTCCCTGCTCAGAGCCCCCTTGTCAGCCTGTTACATCAAGGGAAAGTAGCAGCAGATCAACAGAGGTATCCGAACTGATGTCCTCAGAGTTTTCTCTCTTAAAATACACCGGAGAGCTCAAAAGCCTTTTTGGTTCATGGACCTTGCTGTGTGAAGAAAGGCATATGTTTCTTACCAAGGGGCTATCTCCCATGCTAACTTCTGGGCTCTTCCTAAAGGAAGAGGCAGGTTAAGGCTCTTGGTCACAGGATCAAGCGGACATCTCAGTGCCAGCATGGCAAGGTGGGCTTTCAATCCCTCCTTTAATCTGCCCAAGGCTTGATTTGGCTTCACGATGGGGAAGGCAGGCCCGAGCACAACATTTCTCCGGAGGGTACTAGAGTTCCTGGTGAATGTCACCCGGTGAATATTCCCTGTCATGACAGAGCGCTGATTCACACTCGTGACCAGGAACCCCAGGTCCCCAGGGAGAGCTGGGCCTACCGAGCCACTGCACACTCCCTCTGATGGACAGGGGCAAGAATAGACGTCTTGGTACAATTTGACTTTAACTGAGTTTTGCGCATTGGCACTGATTGAAGACCTGACCTGTGTGGAGGATGTCAACACACATAAGCACACACACAAAAACATGATATCTGTCATTTATTGTTGTTCTAGTCAGCCAGGAACCTGTTCATTTGGTTGCTGTATGGATATATAATAAAATAATCCCTTTGCAGAGGCTTACAGTTTTGTGTAAGTACAAATATCCAAGCCTTGGAGGGAAGGGAGAGAAATGACATTGCTCCTAGCCCTTGTTTTCCTAGCAGGCTTGTATTCATCGACCACATACCTTAATACAGTTTTCACTTCGCTTGTCAATTGTGAAGATAGATTTGGGGGCTGTCAACAAAATGTTATAGTTGAAATGACCCAGCTAGAAATAATAGACTGTGAAACATCAAAGTAGTCATAATACTGTAAACCACCACGGAGGAATGCATTCAGACTTCTCCTTTCTCATGGCTCCTCACATTTTGTTCAGTGCAACAGGACAATCTGGGGATGACTCCTCTGCCCCCACTTTAGATGCCTCCATGCCAGACCAGCACATCTGCAACCTCCTCCCTGTGTGATCTTCGGGAGAAACAAGCACCACAGGAAGCAGCCTCACCTGCCTTGTCTCAGACACCAATTTTAGGACGAGACGCTCTGTCTGCTAGAGGAATTTAACTGTCTATTGCCCAAGAAGAGAAAGCAGGATGACTAGTTCAGGCTTTAGTGTCTTACTTGGAGACATCTAGACTTGGCCATAGGCTCCTACCATGCTCTGGCACTGAGTCATATCTCATTTTCCCTTGACTTTCTTTTTCAGACTAGTTTTTTATGCACTTTGACAACTGCCTGGTGCCACAACAGGATCCCATGGCATGCACCTGGCTTCCCACTAAAACCCTACCACGTGAGGGAGAACATTCCCTAGGACACTTCACGTACATGGAGGACACTTTCCCAGAAGCTTCCATTTGTCTCCAAGAGAGTTTTGCCCCTAAAACCTGGTCTCAAGAGCAGCAAAGTCTGCTCTGACATTGCTCTTCCATCTCCTGGGCTTTGGATCTGAACAGTGCAGGGTTCGGCCACAGGGGATTTGCCCTGAGACTGCAATGCCCTATATATTAGGCAGAGAGGCACTGAAGCATCAGTTTATTTCAGTACATCTGTAGATAAAAATCCTGCGGCTCACAGTGCAGAGAATCTGCAACTTGAGAGGAATTGAACTGATTAAAATCAGGTGTAACAGCAAATACCAGGAGAGCAGTGAGTGGCTTTCCTTTCTCTGCTTGTGGAGCTTCATCAGGCAGTGACACTAGCACTGAAATTGTAATGATTTAATGACTTATGATAACCATTTTCTGCCCTTTTTTTTTTTAATAACTGAAATGATAGATGAAGAGAGCTGGAGAGACAATCGCATAAAAGGGGTCAAGTACAGAAGCATTCATTTAAAAAAAAATCTCTTTATGCACTTAAGAATGTGGCTATTTCTTCCAGCAAAGTGCTTATCCATTTGTTTGGCCAGATCCCTTAAGGTAATAATAGGGCTGTGGGTTTTTTAAATAGCCCGTGTTGGTGGCAGCAGAGGAGTGAGTGCTGACATGGGAAGGGAGCAGCATCCAAGCGCCTGCCCTGGCTCCTCCGCACTGGGAGAAGGATCGGAGGGAAACCCGCTCGAAGCCCCTGTTAAAAATGAGCTCTCCCCACTAGCACTGCCTGAGACTGGAGATTTAAGGATACCTGCCCTTTTGGGGAGTGTTGCTTTTTGGATCCGAAAGTGGAGGAGATGAGTTGCTGTTTGCATGCTCCAAAGAGGGACCTACCCCAGCAGAGGACTTCCCTGCAGCTTGGGGAAGATGCCCCTCACATCCCCTTCAAATTCCTCATGGAGACTTCAGCAGAGCCAACAAATAAGTTGTCCTGAGATAAATTCATTTCTGAGTTTGTGTAAGGGCGGTAGAGCAGCACTGCAAGCACTGCCAGCACCACAAGCTTTCCTTCATTGAAGTTGGTCACTCATCACCGTGATAAAGTAATTAAAGTGTCCCAGTTGCTTTCCTCCTCTGCTGGTCCTTCTCTATATGGTTAAAAAAAAATAGGGCTTTGGCATAGATGGAGCTGTTGCCACTTTGCCAGTGAAAATCTTGAAATGTGCAAATAAGAGAAATGTTTTATGAGGTCTATAAATAGTTTTGCATTAAGGCAAATGTATTCTCCTGCCTGAAATAGCTTCACCTTGCAAATGGCTAAGGACACATCCAACACCAGAGGAGCACCTTCAGACACGGTTCAAAAGGCAGAAATAGCCCTTTCCACCCAAAAGCAGACACAATACACAGCCACAAGCCCCTGCTGCCCCCCCACTGCTGCCCCCCTCCTCCTCCATCCCGGCTGCTTCCCTGTCAGACCTGGGTGCTGGGCTGTTATCCTTGCACAAAAAGCACCATTTATTCAGCAAACTAACTTTTCCAGTCATTTTTTTTTTTCCAAAAAAAAACCACCACTTGGGTGCAACCTGGCTTTTGTTACTCAAAAGCAAGGAAACTTTGCTGATTCAGGGGCAGGGCATGGGGGACGGGCAATGTCATCCCAAGATTGCGTTTGGCAGCCGCTCGCTGTCCCTCCGCTCCGGAGTGAGCCCTGCAAGGAGCCCCCTCCTTGCCGGGGCTGCAACGTGTTAACAACCCTCTCCCTTCCCTGCTCCAGCACGGCTTCCTTCCCGCAGAGAAACACCAGGGAGGGCAGGGAAAAGAGACCCAGGAGGGACAAAAAATTCGCAACTCACCTTCAGGCTGTGTGTTGGGTTGACGACACAGACGAGCTGCCCGGCAGCGGAGAAAACCCTCTTTGCCTTGTAGTGCTGGAACCGCAGGTGGATGAGATCTAACACAGCCCCAAAGCACTGGGTGAAGAAAAGCATCCCAACTTTTGTGGCTGTGGCTGCTGGCGGCGGGCGGGCGGGCGACGCAGCCCCGTGGCGCTGGAGCCCCGCGGAGGGAGTGCGGCCGGCGAGGACGACGCTCCGGCACGGCTTAGCGCGCCGTCCTATCCATCATCAAAATAAGACGGGAAGAGGCTTGCAGCAGCGGGGCGGCCAATGGAAAGGACAGGAATGTTATCCTTGAGGTCCGGAGACAGCCAATAACGAATGCCTCCCCTCCAGAAACTCCCTGATGAATTGAGCCTGGCGGAGAATGTATTATTGAACATTACCATACATCAGCACGTTGCATTTATCTTGTGATTACAGCCAGTGCTACGCGAGGCAGCGGAGATATGCAGGTGGAATTGATTGCTTAATGTCTCCATTTATTAATTGACTTAATTTAACAAAAGGGCTCTCTAAGAGGGGGCCTAAATGCAGAGCACAGAAGGGAAACCGACCGGTGAAACTGTTGGAAAGTAGCAAAATAGATCAAATGGGCTGCGTTGCACAGAGGAAAGCAGCCCCACAGAAAAATCAGATATGCAAAAAGAGTTTAGTTTCTTCCTGGGGTTAAGCAGAAGCAGATCTCCCTCTATAAATAGATTCACATCTGTGTATTTTGTGGGCTTCAATTTTATTTATTTTTAGTTTTTTTTTTTAAACACCCTGATGGTTTCAAAATTTCACATTCAGCTGCTTTGCATGGGAGTTGGTCCCAGGACACTAATAACATCCCCCTGATAAAAACAGTGGAGGTCTCGGGTCTGATGCAACTTGGGATAACTCCATTTAAAGCCAGCAGCGTTCTCCTGATTTACACTCGCTGATGGATCAGGTCCGTTGGACACAAAATAGTAATTACTGGATGCAGGAAATATGAGAGCACAAAAAGGCACAGAGCATGCTTCTAAAAATAATGAAATACATGATGCATGAGAGCACACACACAGAGAAACTTGCACGGAGGGGGAAGTGTCGTCTAAATCAACAGAATAATTAAGCATGCAGAAGGCTTTTGCTTGTCATTCACGCGCACATTGGTGGGCAGGAAATTACTAATTAACCATTAGATAGTCCTAGACATTACAAAAAATTAAAGGAATTAGGAAAGTGCAAGGAAAACAACACACTTCTGCATGTTACTGCTGGTGTGCATCTGCACTGGTGGGCTGGGATCCGCTCCAGGCCGCTGGGTCTCATTAAACTTGAGGCCCCATAGCCAGATTTTCTGGGAGGTGGCGGTGTGGGAGCGGCCGTGGGGATCAGAAATCACATCCATTTTGTGGGGCAATCCTCTGTGATGTGTTGTTCTGCTTGTTAATAAATCAAAGAGGGCTAATTTAATTAGCTCTCTGCCAGAACTTCCTATCAGGGCGCTATTTAGGTTTGCTAGCTAAGTATTCAGATGGCTTATTTAGTCCCATGTAATCCTTTCTCCCTTCAAAGCAAAACAGATAAAAGTAGCTTCTCTTTCTTCTTTGGCTCCTTTTTAAATGTGAAGGGGATCAGGATTCTGCTCAGGATAGAGGTGCCCACATACAAAGCAAGCTTCAATCTGTGACCGAATTGCCACAACTGCTGGTTCTTAAATCAATACTGCAATACGGACCCTGCCAGACTGCAGAGAATCTTTGTATGGGAAAAAAAATGAAAAAAGGCTGGAGTAGATAAATAAGTGGAATATTGAGAATGTTGGAGCAGCTGACGACACTCTCCCCCCAAAACAAACAGACAAACAAAAAAATAAAATGAGAAGAATTCCTAACTTTCTATTCCTAGCATTTGCTTGTAAATGAGAACAGGAGATAATTTTTGCAGTGCTGAAAGAGGCTCTGAGAATATTTTCAGACAGGCTGAAGGACAACGGAGTAAACCGCTTTTCTCCAATGTATCTTTTTTTTTTTTTTTTTCCTGTTCCCAAAGTCACATCTATCTATCTATCTATCTATCTATCTATCTATCTATCTATCTATCTATCTATCTATCCATCCATCCATCCATCCATCCATCCATCCATCCATCCACGTATTTCCTATTTATTACTATTTTGCAGATTGCGGTTGCAGAAACACTGTTTCCTGGAGAGCTCAGCCTACAAGTTAGCGGTGGAAGTATTCTTCATCAGGGATAATTTTGCTCTCAAACGAGCAGAAGCTGCCTGTTATTTGTTATTGCTACTTGGGGCCTCCTGAGATTATCTCTGTTTCACCGGTATTGTAGCTCTGCCCACAGCCCTGTGCTTGCTGTACTGTCCTTGGTGGCAGAAGTGCTGCAATCCATAGGGAGAGAGGACTGTCTTCATCCTAAATGCATATGGTGGCCACTGGGCTAGCACGGAAAACAGGGGATTGTCATTCTTGCAAAGAAATGTCTTCAGTGAGATGTGTAAATCAGGAGTCTGCCACTTGAAGAAGTGCATGGGGACCTTTGAGGGTGGGCGATGGACACCGAGACAGAGCAGTCTGCACCTCACAGCACCTAAACCTCTGCCTGGGATTATGTGCTCAAGTACGAGCACTAAGTGTCTAAAAAATCTGGCTCTTGGAGAGCGAAGATGCCCCCAGAGGCCTGCACGTGGATGTCTCAATTTCAACATGTGATTATTTTGAAGAGCAGCTCCCTGGTAGGAAAATCTGTGGAAAAAACTAAAACAAGAGCTCATGGGACTTGAAGAAGTCTCCTGATCAGTATCACTTGAGTTCACACTCGCGGCTATGCTTTTGCCCAACATGCCTTGTCCACAAGCTATGCGGCTCAAGCACTTTATGTTGTCCATATTCTTGGCGTCTTGAGGCCCAAACACAGCAGCAGTTTGCTCCATTTCCTCAGGTGTCTTAGCACCAGCTCAACAGGGACCCCACGTCAGCTGCCTTGTAGTAAAGAGTGCAGTCTTGCACAAGCTGCAGAACAGTGCTGTGGGTGTAAAACCAGGTGTTTCTGCTTTCCCATGCTCTCAACCAGCATCACCCCATCGCTGTGAATTCACAGCCAAAGGCTGAGCTGCACTAGTAAATTAATCCCATCATTGTTCATGCCCATTAATTGTTGCCTTGCATTTTGTCCCGGGACAAGTAACCCTCTTCCAGGCAATGCCTGGGGACGGCTGGTTGATGGCCCTGATCCATTCCCATTGGGTACCCTGAGTGTGGACAACCTGTTTGGAGGAGAGAGGAAGAGTGGAGAACTGAGGCTCATTGGCACAACATCTGCTGTGCTTCTCAACCTCAGAGAGCAGGTCCTCGTGGACTTCATTGAGCTATCAGAGGTAACCAGAGAGAGGAGAAGTGAATCCACAGGTAAGATGGACTTGACAAACCCAATTTAGTTGCTGGTTGCTAATTTCTACAGATTGCTGTCGTTACTTCCCAGGTAGTTAATTCTGTGACATGGCAAAGACCATAGGCTAAATCTTCATTAGCATCTAAATTTTGCAAATTAGCAATCCTAGCAGTGATATCTCTATAGTATGTATCTGAAAAGTCAGGTTTGAAACTTTCAATTCACTGAGCTATTTAAAAAAAATGTTCAAGAACTGCTCCTGCTAAAACTTGCCTGAGCTATCAACACTGTGAAATTTACAGCACCTTTGCTCATCCCTGGAGAAGATGAAAGTGGTTCCATGCAGAGCTTGACAAGGCTGACTCAGGCCTTGCAGACAAATTTCCATCCATGGGGGTGCTTCAAGCCCCACAGCTTTGGGCCGACCAGAGACAGAGAGATTGGGAGGTTTTGTTGCTCATGTTCCAGTGTTGCAGAGGATGTGCTTGGCATTGAGTCTCCAAAGGACCAAAGGAAAGACTGAAGGAAGACGCTGGCCTGATTTGCCATGGCTTTGCTGCCACATATATAATTAAACGACTTGAGAGCTGGATGCTGCATGCACAACCTAATTACTTTTCTAAGCCTCTTCAAACACATAACTCCAGCACGAATTGGGCAGGCCACATATTTGAAGACAGGGAGACAGAATGGCAGGGAGTGCAAGTAGTAGCGGTAAAACAGAGGGAGAAGAAAGGGCTTCATCTTATCTCGGCTGCTCCAATAGTTAAAATTGCCATGTTTCACTTCTTCCTAGATCTTTCTGAGGTAGATGGGTTTTGCTAAATATTCTTCTGCATCTTTTCGATGCAAATGTAGTATATGAAGCTTCAGCTACTCTTCTGGATTGCCTGGCACATTTTGAGATGTTTGCAACATTAGTTAGTGTTTTCCTCTGTTGTCCACCAGATGTTTTCAGAGGGTCCACCATGACCCTCCCATTCAGTGGAGGCTCCATCCGGCCCAGTACTTATCTCCACCAGTGACTACAGGAGGTGGTATTTTAGGAGAGCACATAAGCCAGGGCAACCAACCCTTGTCCACCCTCCCATTCCCCCCCAGCATCCACAGCTATCGTACTCAGGGCACAAGAGGATACATCTGTACAGAATTAGACCCAACAATTTTTGAGGCCGAAAGAAATGTTGTAGGGCTCCCACCCAACAGAGGTGGACAAAGCACATGTTGCTTCATGCTGAGCTCTTCAGTTGCACTTGGGTCAGAGCCAGGCCTTGTCAAGCAGTCTGAGTGGAAAGCTGTCCTGGAAGGAGATGCCATGGCACCTCCCAGTAAGCTCTTCCAGCAGTTATCTATCTTTATTGTTAACATTTTTATCTTACTTCCGATTTGAATTATTTTCTTGCTTAGGCAAATGTCAGTATGCTTTCTCTTGCTAAATTAAGATAGTCTCTAGCATCACAGATCTTCTCCATGGGAAAGCACTTTTTTTTTTTTTTTTTTGCCTAAACTCTCCTTCAGAAAGCAACAAACAGACAGTATTTCCATTGCAAAGCACCTCCTTTCCCAGAGATCAGTTCTGTTTTTGCAGCTTCTCCGTGCATTTTCTCTCCCTCCTCCTCCTCCTCTTTTCCCGAACCTGATCTTTTTCCCACATGCAGAAGCAAGGCGAACTATTTGGCTCACAGCTCTACACGGAGCTGTTTATGGGTACGGTTCCTTGGGCCGGCCTTATTCCCACACCTCCTCCTCATCTGCCAGGGAAAATTCACACTGATCAGCTCTGCACAGCTGCTTGGGAATCAAAGCAACGGGCAGCATGGGGAGGATGGAGGGCAACCGGATAGCCCTGGAGGACATCTCAATCAGCCAGTGTGAAGGTGTTCCCATCTCTCTGACTCCCTGCAGTGGTGAGAGATGCTGGGAGAACTTGGACAAACCTCTTCCCTTCTTTAGGAAAATGAACTGTTTTTCAAAGCAAAATACAGTTGAATTTACAAAAACGTTTTATTCT